TGGATCGTTCCAGTACGTGGAATGGAAACGGGATACGCTACATGTTCTAAAATATGGTACGATAAGGGTAGATTTGTATATATTATACTTCAGAATTTAATTTACGAGTAATTATTATTATTATTTTTTTTAACTATTAGATATCTAATAAAATGTAATATTTTCTGTAATCATTATGACCCATTTTTTGATTTTTTGTCTTGTCAAAACTTAACTCACCTTATATTTTAGTTCGTTATATTTGAATTTTTTCCTCCTAAGGTAACATTTAAGGACACATTGAAAAAAGCTTTTTGAATCGCTTTGGAACATTAAATTTACCGTTTTGAAATGACAGTGTACCATGTTTCAGAACATGCGTACCAATACGTAATTTGCTAGGGTATTAGCGTTTTCTGATAACATAGCTCTTCGTATTCTATTGGTAACTCTCCAAACTACTCCCCACATAATACCACTGAATGTGAACAAATTTTGACAAAATTCAAACCAATTTGTTGGGGAAAACCACGGTGTCATCGCCAAAGACAAACCATTGGACGTCGGACTCTTTGCGGAGAACAACTTCTTTCACTATCCGGGTGATATGAATCACGAGGCTAGAGCCACAACAGAAGGTGAAGGGGAAGGTGGGGGGTTGTCAGTAGAGGTGAAGGTTGGGCGAAGGTGGAAGTTGGCGGTGGAATTGGGTGTGGGGCTGTTGAGACAAAGGAAGAGGTAGGATTTGCAATTGGGGAAATAACAGGAGGAGGCTGTGAAGGAGAAGACGAAGTGGCGGAGAGTGGTAGGAGAGGGAGGAAATGCCCTACTCTAGCAACAGGCAAGAAAACAGAGAGGTGTGGAGAAATGAAGGGATAAGTGTGTGATAAGGTGCATTGTAATGTTATTGTAATGTTACAGATGGATAGTTGTTATATGCTTAGGTGATTTATTAGATGGAGTTGTGATTTGATATAATCAAGTTCAAGGTTTAAATTTACACCCACCAGAAATAACTAAGTTAATCATTTTGGGAAGTGATTGCCTACAACAATCTTATCGTAGGCTCTATGTGTGTGATTGACTGTATTTGAAATTTCAACATAAATTTGGTTTAAAATTTATGTGCCAACAATTATCAATGGGAGAAAACCAATCGGAAGCTGATCTTCCTCACTCCAACATGCTAAGATACTAGTATATGATGTCATGGATATTTATTGTATGAGAACCTCCTTATCCAAAATGAAGCCTTTATAGTCAGAAAACAACCAGTTTATATAGCTCATTAATGGTTACCTACATATCTAGTTTATGTTTTTGAAGGACAGTTGCATAGGTAGGTGACAACGACCGCAATACCCAATACCTTTTTAGACCCTTGTGAATTCTGTGAGTAGCTTTTAACAAATGCCAGGGTGGTTGGGAAAGGGCTCTATAGAGTTCAGTGGAGTACACAAAAGAAAAAAAAAACTAATGTATCTATCAATCTAAATGTATGAGACAAAGTTCTTATCCCAAAAGAAAGAAACCAAAGGTCTAAATGATATGTTAAAACAATTAATCAAATTAAAGGAATTGTGTGTTTATTGAATTCACAAAAGTGTTTTGCTTTAAGACATAATATGTGACAATAGATGGAATGTGAAGGAGTGCACATAAAATATAAGATAAATTACACTTTGCGCCCCTTTACACCATACCCCACTTTAACATCTTGTTTTTCAATTGTAACAATCGATTGCCCGCACTTTCAGTCAAGTGTCAACGTGGTCCTTCTGTTAGTCTGATGTTAAACTGGCTGACGAAAGATGGTATGTGCCCCTCACGTGAGGCATTTTTTAGTGGAAATACGTACTTCTCTTCCATTTTCTTCTTCTTTCATATTTCTCCACTTTTTCCCCTCTTTACCAATTTTCTCTCTTTAAAGATCAATCTTTCTCCACCACCTACGACCACCCCACCCTTCCCACCACCCACCATTTCCCCAAACCATTGTCAACCCCTCACTCCTTTCCACTGCCACCTACCCAACCCCTATGTCCTTTACCCATGACAGCCAAGTCCCACCTTGTCCCCTCCCTGCCCCCTACCCTTCGTCAGCCCCCCTTTCTCTTCCTCCCTCTGCCTTATTTTCACTAAATCAAGACAACCTATATGAGAAATTCACCAACAAAAATTTCGAGTAAAATTCTCACAAAAATTCCTAGGAGAATCAACCACAAGAAGAACTAGAGTAACATCATTGAGACCATCCCCCTTTCCTTCCCCAAAGAGAAGAATAAGGGGAAGAAGAAGAAGAGACCAAACATGTAAGTTGCCCCACCTGACACCACCACTCCCTCCTAAAACTGCGCCACCGTCCATGACAGCCTCTTCCCCAACTCCAAACCCTAGATGCCAACTGGAATCCAAACCCTTAATTTGAGCAACACACTGACTTCGATCTCTACAGCAGCCTCTTATCCGACCTCTTCTATCACAGAAAACCCAACTTGCTAATTTGTTTTGGTGAGAACTTCTTAGATTATGGCAACTGTTGGATGAACCCTTAAGTAGGTGAGATTTGGGAGAGATTTAGGTGATGTTACTAGTAGGCTATGGATGGGTGCGTGTTAGAGAAAGAGGACGGGAAGCAGGTGTGAGGTGGTTTGGTCATCAATGGCAGAAGAAAGGAGGGGGTGTTGGAGGGGAAAAGGAGTGGTGGTTGCTGTGGGTGGCACGGAGGTGCAGTGCTGGGAAGGGGAGGAAATGGTGGTTGTTTTCAGTTTAGTAATTTCAGTTTACTATTTATATTTTATGATGTAAAAAAACCCACATGAGGTCACCTGGTTAATTTCCATTAGTTGAGTAAACAGGAACCAACAGAAGGACCACACTAGCACTTGACCAGAAGTGCAAGGGGTTGATTGTTAAAATGGGAAAATGAGGGACCAAAAGGGATCTGGTGTAAAGTGTGGCTGCAAAGCAGAATTCATTGTAAATTACAGGGCCACAAAAGATAACTTGGAACAGAGCAAAACAAGCAATTACCAGTATGGCAGTACCAGCTGCTGAAAATAATCACAAAGCTTGGGTTAGAATTCTTTGTATCTTGACGCGCCCTTCCTCATGTTAGCATCCGATCAACTTTTTTCCTGCTTAGAAATTTAAAATAGAAACATTCCTTTCAAATTTATAACCAAAATATCTTCCTCATTGTTCATAATACTAACAGTGCCCAGTTGTTTATACAATGGATAAAAACAAAAACAAAAATCTCATAACCTTTCTCAGAAACAAAAATCAAAATTTTGTTTCAGGTTGGTGTTTTTGTGTTTGGAAACAAAAACTTTTCGAAAACACAAGGGAAATAACAAAAGGATTTGGAAATGTATAAAATGTTTAGAAATAAAATCTAAAACCCATATAAATGTTAAAACATACCCAATAACTAAATAATTGAACATGTTAATACAAAAATATGAATATTAGAAGCTCAATATACAAAAAGGCTTACAAACTTAGCTGGGGAAGGGGCTTTGGCATTGTTAGAAAAAACTTTTAAAATAAAAAAAAAAAAAAGGAGTAGGAATGGGGATGAAAAAAAGCTGCTGTGGGTGGCACGGAGGGGCAGTGCTGGGAAGGGGAGGAAATGGTGGTTGTTTTCAGTTTAGTAATTTCAGTTTACTATTTATATTTTATGATGTAAAAAACCCACATGAGGTCACCTGGTTAATTTCCATTAGTTGAGTAAACAGGAACCAACAGAAGGACCACACTAGCACTTGACCAGAAGTGCAAGGGGTTGATTGTTAAAATGGGAAAATGAGGGACCAAAAGGGATCTGGTGTAAAGTGTGGCTGCAAAGCAGAATTCATTGTAAATTACAGGGCCACAAAAGATAACTTGGAACAGAGCAAAACAAGCAATTACCAGTATTGCAGTACCAGCTGCTGAAAATAATCACAAAGCTTGGGTTAGAATTCTTTGTATCTTGACGCGCCCTTCCTCATGTTAGCATCTGTTGGATGGGAAAAGGAGTGGTGGCTGCTGTGGGTGGGCACAGTGGTGGGAAGGGGAGGAAATGGTGGTTGTTTTCAGTTATTTCAGTTTACTATTTATATTTTATGACGTAAAAAAAACCGACATGAGGTCACCTGGTTAATTTCCATTAGTTGAGTAAACAGGAATCAACAGAAGGACCACACTAGCACTTGACCAAAAGTGCGAGGGGTTGATTGTTAAAATTGGAAAATGAGGGACCAAAAGGGATCCAGTGTGAAGTGTGGCTGCAAAGCAGAATTCATTGTAAATTACAGGGCCACAAAAGATAACTTGGAACACAGCAAAACAAGCAATTACCAGTATGGCAGTACCAGCTGCTGAAAATAATCACAAAGCTTGGGTTAGAATTCTTTGTATCTTGACGCCCCCTTCCTCATGTTAGCATCCGATCAACTTTTTTCCTGCTTAGAAATTTAAAATAGAAACATTCCTTTCAAATTTATAACCAAAATATATTCCTCATTGTTCATAATACTAACAGTGCCCAGTTGTTTATACAGTGGATAAAAACAAAAAAAAAAATCTCATAACCTTTCTTAGAAACAAAAATCAAAATTTTGTTTCAGGTTGTTGTTTTTGTGTTTGGAAACAAAACTTTTCGAAAACACAAGGGAAATAACAAAAGGATTTGGAAATGTATAAAATGTTTAGAAATAAAATCTAAAACCCATATAAATGTTAAAACATACCCAATAACTAAATAATTGAACATGTTAATACAAAAATATGAATATTAGAAGCTCAATATACAAAAAGGCTTACAAACTTAGCTGGGGAAGGGGCTTTGGCATTGTTAGAAAAAACTTTTAAAATAAAAATAAAAAAAAGGAGTAGGAATGGGGATGAAAAAAAAGTACCAGTACAATCTTTATTTTAAAAAAAAAAAATGTACTTTTGCAAGAATACGGGATTTAATCATGCTCATTTTACCTTCTCTTAAATCTTGTCTTTCTGGCAAAAAGAGGCAAATAGAATAAACATTGTTGGATATTCCTAATAAATGTCGAAACAACTCATTATTTCAGTATGTTTTGTAGTGGTTCAGTGGAAACATTAGAATTTTGGTCTTCCACTAATGTTTCAATTCAATTTCCTAGAATACAAAAATGATTCAGCCATTTCTACCTAAACAAAATGGCTGAAAAGAAACTAATAAAATGTGGCCCTGTCAAGAACTTCATGCTTCATTAACCAGAAACACATACATTTGGCAAAGTGGTAACTATTGAAGGATACCTAGCTTTCCCTCAGCAGTAATCAACTTATTCTCCAAATCTTCAGCAGCCTCAATCATGCCTTGAGCATTGTAGGCTTGGATCATGGTAGCAAAGGTGATATTGTCCGGCTTATAATTTCTCCCTTTCATTGTCAAGAATAACTCACCCATCTTTGTAATATCACCAGCCTGACCATATGATGATGCAGTTGAAAAATGGAGTATCCAGAACTACATCAGAATTCTCTACTTGCCTCATAATTGAATCAACCTTCCTCAAAAGTCCAGCTTTACTATAAGAACTAACAAGAGAGCAGTAGGTAACAGAGTTAGGCTTTATTCCTTGATGCTTCATTTTCAGAAAGAATTCTTCCATCTTCTCAATATTTCCAGCCATCCCAAACGTCTCAATAACAATATTAAAAGTGACAATTGTTGGGGAGTATAATCTTTTCCTCATAAATTCCATAACAGAACCCATCTTCTCATACATATTTGATCAACACACTGACTTCGATCTCTACAGCAGCCTCTTATCCGACCTCACAAACGTTTCTATCACAGAAAACCCAACTTGATGATCTAATTAGGATGTTAAACGTCTTTATGTCAGGCCTTATCCCCATTAGCTGAAATTCATCAAACCACTTCTCCATTTCCTTAATCTTCCCGGAGTTCCCATACGCCCCAATAAATGAATTAAATGTGAAAACATGTGGAAGGCAAGTGCCACTTTCAGTCATGTCCATAAATGAGTTCTCCATCAGTTCAAACAGTTCAGCCTTACCATATCCATCAATTATAGTATTGTATGTTACTGTGGTACATTCAATTCCCAAGTATGACATTTCAGCAAGTATGTGTTCAATGAGATCAAAACGATGGAGTTTAGTGCAGCAGTTGATAAGAATCGAATATGTATACACATCTGGTTTGCAGTCGGACACTGACTTCATATGGTCAACAGTATGAAATGCCTCAACAAGGAGGCCACTGAGACCATATGCACCCACAAGTGCAGTGTAAACATCAAGAGTGGGTTGGAGGCCATCAGACCTCAAGATCTCAAAAAGCAAACTTGCTTGTTTGGGCTGTCTGCACTTGCCGAGCAACACCAACAGCTTTGTGTACGTTTGGCATCTTGGCTCATACCAATGTTGCTTACGAAGAAGATTGAATATCTAACAGCAGGAAATCCGTATTTGTTTTAAAAAAAATGTTAGAATCATGAAGAACTCATCTAGTTGATAGATAAGATATGAAATCTAATTGTCATGAAAATTATCATCAAAATTCAGTTACAAATTCCTACAAACTTTACAAATTAAAAATATAGTACCATTCTTTTTACCAAAACCATAAGCTCATTAATTAATGACAGTAGAAGCAATAATACAGGAATCTCGAGTTCATATGTCCACTTTACAGAGCTATTATTTTCTTCTTTGGAGTTTTGGCCTAAAATCTTATATCTTACACCTACTTCTTGGTAATGGAACAATGGAGACCATTTCTCTAAGAGTAACTCCAACATTCTCTCATCAATCATGCTAAACAAAAATTTAACAAGATGAATGTTTGGCCAATGATTTCTTTAAATTTACTAACCTACAAAAATGCCTATGTATTTTGTTTATATATAATTCAATAAAATTATTATTATTATTATTATTTATTTATTTTTTAAGTACCAACTATCATATCAAATTTATTTTACTTCAAAATATAATTTGAAGGCGTCTTAAATACATAGAACACACTCACTTATCAACATTCCTCTTGTTGTCATGCTCACACACCTTCAATAAAATCATTATTAAGTGTTTGATTGAGTTCAAAAAATCAAATTATATGGTGATGAGCAATAGATTAAATTAATGTAATTTGATTTTAGTTAACGAATAGAAGTTTTTTAAATATTAATTATGCATTATATTTTTTTAATGAAAAAAATATATTTAAAGACACTATAAATTTTGCAACAAAAAATTCCAAAGGCTCAGATCAGACCCATTTCATAATCTTCCTCTATTCTTGTACCACCACTAAAAAATTCCAGTATTTCTCTAATGTTGATATTGTTGCAATGTGTCCCACATCGCCTAAAGTTGTCCTATCTGTACTGGTTATAAGGCTCCAGTTTCCCTCTCCTTAATACCTGGGCTTTAAGAAGAAGTGTGGGCTTGACTTTTCAATTGATACCCTAGCGAATTATATTTTGGAACACTGATTCCAAAACATACTACATTTTTGTCCAAAACAATTATTTTGGCAATCCAAAGCGATCTCAAAAATTTATACATTTCCTTAAGGTTTCCTTACGATTAAAAAAAAAAAAAAAAATTTCAAATATAATGAACTAAAATGTAAGGCAAGTGAAATTTTAATATGACAAAACATAAGAATTGTGTCATAATATTCATAAAAATGTGTTTCCATATGATTAATTTGGAAAAAAAATAAAACCTACATTTTATTAGAGGTCTAATTGTGAAAAAAAAAAAAATCTAAACTAAAAGTACCTTAAATTCTTATGGTGTTAACTATACAAGCCTACCACTATTATACCATAATTTAAAGTATGCCTTCTCGTTCTCGTTCAACATTTCAAAACGATGCATATTCCAAGTAACATAGTTTCGAGTCAACCACAAAACAAGACAAATCCATAACCCAAAACACAAATTAAACAACAATATATCTAAAGAACCAAAACAAATACAGAGTAAAGTAAACAATCCGAAAAAGAAAAAACCACAAACCTTGAGAGCGGACTGCCAGCGGTGCTCTCGTATTGCATCGTCAAGAGCCTCCAAGACTGCTTTGGGCCACAACCGATTGTACTTGGTTGAGTTTGCTTTTCTCTCAATGGCTTTAATGGCAGCCTCGGTTCTCAAAATACGAGAGAGGTCCTTCTTGGGCTGCCTCTGGAGGCCTTGTGCAGAATTTTGTGATCTCTTCTTCGCTGCTTTGATTAGCAATAGTGGGCTTGCTGGGTTCTTTGGGTTAGTTAGGACTTTTTTCGAACGTGTTGCGGATCGGGGGCACACCAGGGAACTCAAACAAGCAATAACACACAAGTTTTAACGTGGTTCGGCAAGTCGCCTACGTCCACGGGCAGCGGATTCACTATATTGAACAAAATGGTAAGAATTACAACATTCTCTGTAATTCTCTCTCTCTCTTTGCTCTCTGTTATCTCAGCTGTACCACTCAACTCTCCTTAGCTTCTCTATATATAGAGATTACAAATGCAAGAGAGTCTTTGAAATGAGCTGGCTGCCAGCCCATGCCATGCCCATTGTTGTGCTTTCGGTGGCTGGCTTCTCATGGCCTCATGGCCAACTCACATGGCCTCATGGCTTCCCCACCATGGCCAGAATCTGTAGCCAATATTCAACAAATCTCCACCTTGGCGAGGATTCTCTTATCCAACATAGTGATCGATCAACACTGCCATGCACCCGAAGGTGCTCAGTTCCGAGAGATGTTGACCAAGTCCAAACAATGTTGGAACTTGATCCCAGAAACTACCTTTGTGAGCATATCGGCCGGATTATCTGCAGTACCAATCTTTTGAAGCAGAATATCCCCTTCATTCACAATTTCTCGGATGAAATGGAAACGAACATCAATGTGCTTGGTGCGGGCATGATGAACCTGGTTCTTTGCCAAACAAATGGCACTCTGACTGTCACAAAACACCTCAACGTGCTTCTGAATAATTCCCAAGTCTTCAATCAACCCATGTAGCCAAATAGCTTCGTTAAAGGCTTCCGTCACTGCCATGTACTCTGCCTCTGTAGTAGACAAAGCCACCGTTGACTAAAGCGTTGACCTCCAACTTACCGGCCCTTTAGCAAGCGTAAATAAATACCCTGTTGTTGACCGGCGTTTGTCTAAGTCGCCAGCATAATCTGAGTCCACATATCCTTCGAAATTCTGCCCGAGTCGGTTATCTCTCTCGAACTTCAATCCCAGATTGACCGTGCCATGTATGTACCTTAGGATCCATTTCACTGCCTGCCAGTGATCTTTTCCTGGATCATGCAGATACCTGCTTACCATACTCACAGCATGCGAGATGTCAGGCCGTGTACAAACCATAGCATACATTAATGCACCAACTGCATTTGCATGTGGAACCTGTGCCATATGCTTCCATTCTTCTTCTGTGCGTGGAGACAACGAAGCACTAAGCTTGAAATGAGGGGCCAATGGTGTACTTACAGCTTTGGTTTTCCCATTGATGCCAAATCTGTCTAACACCTTTTTCAGATACTGGGTTTGTGTCAGACAAACCGTGCCCTTCTTCCTGTCTCTCTTGATCTCCATGCCAAGAACTTTCTTTACTTCTCCCAAATCCTTCATTTCAAACTCCCTTGCTAACTGTGCCTTGAGTTTGTCAATCTCCACCTTGCTCGTAGATGCAATCAGCATATCATCTCCATATAAGAGCAAATAGATGAAGGAACCGTCGGGAAGCTTACGGAAATATACACAATGATCAAATTGACTTTTTGTGTATTCTGTCTCTATCATGAACCGATCAAATCGCTTGTACCACTGTCTCGGGGATTGCTTCAATCCGTACAACGATTTGTTCAGCTTACAGGCCCAATTCTCTTTTCCAACAATTTTGAAACCATCTGGCTGGGACATGTATATCTCCTCTTCAACATCTCTATGTAAGAAAGTAGTTTTGATATCGAGTTGGGCGAGCTCGAGATCAAACTGTGCAACCAAAACTAACAAGATGCGAATAGACGTGTGCTTCACAACAGGTGAGAATACCTCATTGTAGTCTATTCCAGTCCCGAAATGAAGTGAAATGACATGAATTCCTTCTGAGCATAGCCTTTAGCTACAATCTAGCTTTGAATCTGATGTTGTCTTCTGCTGGAATGCCTTCATTCTTGGTGTAAACCCACTTGCACCCAATTGCTTTCTTGCCTTTTGGAAGTTGCACCAACTCCCAAGTCTGGTTCTTGTGAAGTGACCCGATCTCTTCATCCATAGCCTCCTTCCATTTGACACTTTTTTGCATTATGCACGGCTTTTTGAAAGTGCAGCGGAACATTGTCTTCAATGATTGGAAGTGCATAGGCTACCATATCGGTCATCCAACTGGGTTGCCTTAGTAACCCTTTTCCTTTCCTGATTGCAATGGGTTCTGATTGTTGCGGAGCCTCTGGATCTTCATTTTCATTCTGAACTCTCTTCATAGCTATCCTCTGAGACTTCTTCAGGATGTTGATTGGTTGACTGTCTTTGCTGAGTCTCAACCTCCACCTGCACTGACTTCTTTCAATGCTTCCTCATTCTGTTGAGGATCTGGTTGCTTCAGCATTGCAGACTCATCAAAGGTAAGTCTTCTGATGAGAATTTTCTTTGATTCAGGGCACCAAGTCTGTATCCTTGACACCGTCACCGAAGCCCAAGAAGATGGCTTTCTTGGCTCTTTGGATCCAACTTAGATTCTGTAACATGAAAATATGCTGGACATCCAAAGATACGTAACTGATCATAATCAGTACTGGGATTCCTGACCATACCTCCATGGGAGTCTTCCCATCTCAATGCTGCGCAGTAGGTAGTCTGTTGACAGATGACGAGCATAAGTTCAATGCCTCGCCCCAAAATGCCTTGCTCAATCCAGACTGTGACAGCATCACCCGGACTTTCTCCACCAAAGTGTGGTTCATGCGTTCTGCAACTCCATTCTCTGCTGCGGTGTTCCCAGGAACTGTGAAATGTCTACTATCCTCGCATTCTGGCAAACCTCAAGAGAAGGGATCTGATGTATATTCTCCACCATTGTCAGATCTGAGCTTCTTGATCCGTCTGCCTGTCTGGGTCTTCAATCATTCTTTCTCACGTAAGAAAGATGTCTAAGACTTCATCTCTTGTGTTTCATTGTATAAATCCAAACTCTTCTAGAGAAATCATCAATGAATCGACACAAAGTAGTGTTTACCTCCCCAACGAAGCATTCTTGGAAGGACCCCATAGTCGGTGTGGACGTAGGCTAGAATCCCTTTGGTACGGTGAATTGCAGTACCAAACTTGATTCTTGTTGCTTGCCCAATACAATGCTCGCAGAACTCAAGCTTCCCCGTCTTGGCGCCTTTCAACAGGCCTTGCTTTACCAACCCTTGTAAAGCCTTCTCACCCGACATGCCCTAGGCGCATTGTGCTAAAGTTTGGAAGTGTCTGATGCATCATCTTCTGAGCTGGAATGGTGGAGACAGCCACTCTCCTATGACTGTAGAGCCATCTAGGAAATATAAATTTCCCTGTCGAGTACCCTTCATTGTAACCAATGCTCCTCGAACAACTTTAAAGGACTCCAACCTTCCATGGTTACTCTGTAACCTTTGGAGTCTAAAACTCCCACTGAGATGAGATTCTTGTTAGATCTGGTACATACTGTACATCTTCAAGAATTCTGATTGTTCCATCATGGATCTTCAGTTTAATTGTTCCAATCCCCTTTGTCTGGCCAAGCTTGGTCGTTGCCCATCAGAACAACTCCTCCATCGAACTCTCGTAAGCTCGAGAACCACTACTTGTTTAGGAACATATGGATGAACATCCGGAATCTATTATCCATTCCATCCGACTGGCCATATGATGAAACTGTGAAGGCTCTCCTTCATCATATCTCCATCTCGTGCAATATTCACCTTCTCTTCTGTCTTGTCTTTATTTGGACAATCTTTTGCCCAATGTCCTTCTCGCGACAAGCTGCACACTCGTCTTTTTGCAAGACGTCTTTTTGTTTGAAGGTTCCCCTGGATTTTTGAGGCGAGACTTTCCTCGCCTGTATTTCTTCTGTTATTTGTTTCTGCCTCTGACTGTTAATGCCTCGATGTTGAGGTCCCTGTTTGCTAGACTTATCTTTCTTCTGAACTCATTTGTTCACTAAGGCGTTTGCAACATCAATATACTTGATCTTCTCTTTACCGACAGTAAAGTAGTAGTGAGATGATCATACGAGTCAGGCAAGGAATTAACAAATAACAGTGCTTTGTCTTCATCACCAACTTGATCATCAAATTCTTCAACATCCGTAATAATTTTGTTGAAGTTATTTAGGTGTTCGTTCATCGAAATACTTTAAATGTAGTCGAAACGAAACAACCTCTTCCTCAAGTGAGCCGTTCTCAATGCTCTTTGTCATGAACTTATCTTCCAGCGCTTCCAAAGCTTCTTCGCAATATCATATTCTGTAAAGGCATACTTCTCCTCTTGCAAGGCAAAGTCGGATGGAACTGCAGGCCAGGAATTCACCCTCTCCCATTCTATTCGTCCAGGTCATCTGGTTTGTCTCCCAGAGTGAAGTGCAGGTTCATTTGGACAAGCATATCCTTAATTGCTTCCACATGCCGAAGTTGCTGCTTCCATCGAACTTCTCTACCTCGAACTTGGCATGGACCCCGGGGTTCAATGCCTAGAGTGCTTGTACTGGCTGAATTATTTAGGACTCGTTGATCTAGATTTTTTTCCATTTTTTAGAAACTTCAATTCAAAAAACTGACCGTACAGATGTGTCCGGAATACTCCAAATAGTTGGGAAGCACTATTGGATCGTCAAAAACGGACTCCGAATGGCTCCGATCTGGCCAAAACAACTTTGGACGGGTCAGATCTGCAGAATCTGGTGTGCTGGATGCACCGGATAATTTTCTCCGGTTCGGCTGGCGTCTGGCTGACGTCAGCCGGCTCAGTCAACGACGCAGGCGGCGCGGGTCAACGCGCGGCTTGACGGCTGGTCAACGAGGCTTGGTCAGCAGCTCAGGCTGACTGGGCCTGACACGTGGCTAACACGTGGCCTGTCAGTTGGACACGGGGCGCTGACGTGGCGGGATGACGTGGCGCTGACGCGGTGCTCGGCGTGGCGCTGACGTGGTGCCACGTGGCTCGTCTTCTTCCTGGAGACGCGCGTGTGGCGCGTGGGTGCGATTGGGATCACTCGCCGGTGCCTGTACGGCGCGTGTGGGCGCGTGCCGCGACTGGGAATCACGGCCAACTTCCAGGGGCCGCGTGAGGGGCGCGTCGAGGTCCTCTGGGCTCTGTTTTTGCTGTTCTGGACTCCTCTCGGGGGTTCTTCCTCCTGGTATGGTCAAAAGTGGATTTTGAGCATTCGAAATCTAGGCACTTTTGGGAAAAATTCGATTTTTTCGCAACCCGAGCTCTGATACCAATTTGTTGCGGATCGGGGCACACTAGGAACTCAAACAAGCAATAACACAAAAGTTTTACATGGTTCGGCAAGTCGCCTACGTCCACGGGCAGCGGATTCACTATATTGAACAAAATGGTAAGATTACAACACTCTTTGTAATTCTCTCTCTCTTTGCTCTTTGTTATCTCAGCTGTACCACTCAACTCTCCTTAGCTTCTCTATATATAGAGATTACAAATGCAAGAGAGTCTTTGAAATGAGTTGGCTGCCAGCCATCCAGCCCCTTGTTTGTGCTTTCGGTGGCTGGCTTCTCATGGCCTCATGGCCAACTCACATGGCTCATGGCCTCATGGCCACTCACATGGCCTCATGGCTTCCCACCATGGCCAGAATCTGTAGCAATATTCAACGAGACGGGTGGTAGAGGTAAGAATGAGGATGAGGGACCAAACAGGTTAGCTGAATTGGAGTGGGTATTTCATTGGACTGAAGTTATGGGAGGATTTAGAGGGCTTGTTGGGGGTTTGGAGGAGAAGACGAGCAGTACAGACTAGCAAGGGTAAGGTAGTGGAACTACATTCTGCGGGTGGTGGACACCTATCAAGCCATTCAAATCACTGTTTTTACAGATTCATGTGGAGGGGTAGATAATTTTTGGGGCAAATTATCGGATTCAAATCGCTGCTGTATTATCCTCTGCTATGATCCAGCTATGTCTTCACCACACCATGACATGGGCTGTGATCCAACACGCTACATAATAAACAGTCAAAACTAGGTTCTTTTGAGGCTTAAAATTTGGGGCCATTTCCCTAAATAGTCAAATATCAATTCAATTTCTAAACTAAAGAATTCTCAAATAGAAATAGACTAAACGTATTCACAACCTTGCTTCAACGTTTGTTCCCGATGAAAAATGGTGAAATCGTAAAAGCATAATTACAAATCACGCTTTTAATTAAGAAAGCGTTGTTCCTAATTACGCTTTTAAATCAATTTTTTTTTCAAAAAAAGTAATTTTAACCACACTTTAAAAAAAAAAATTAAAAAAATATATTTCTAACCACGCTCTTAAAAAAAACTATATTATAAAAAAAAAAGTATTAGAAACCACTCTTTCAAAACTCACAACCCAACGCACTCACTCACACAGCCACACCACACACTGTCTCTCCTCTCTCTGACACATCACTCACACACAACTCACACTCACATGCAATTCACATCAAAATAAATATAAAAAATTTTAAGAATTAAATAAATATAAATAAATAATAATATTTAAAAATAAATAATTTTAAGCATAACCCTAATCCTAAATAAAAAAAATAAATTTTATCCCTAACAGTAAAGTAACGTTTGATAACGTTAGTTTTTAGTTTAATGTTTACAAAAATAATTGAAAAAAATTTAATTGGAAAACATTTAATTGAAAAAAATAATAAATATTTGGAAAAAAATATATTTCAAATAAATTTTTTCAAATTTTTTTTCAATATTTGACAATATATTTTTTTCCATTACATTATTTGAAAAAAAAATTATTATTTGAAATAAATTATTTGAAATATATTTTTTTTCAAATATTATTTTTTGTTCAATAATTTTTTTTTTTCAAATAATTTTTTTTCAATTATTTTTTTAATTAATTTTTTTTTCAAATATTTCTTTTCAATTAAAATTTGGCCTAAATTTTCAAATAAGATTTTTTTTTCAAATAATTTAATTGGAAAAATATATTTCAAATAATTGAAAAAAAATTAATTGAAAAAAAATTATTGAAATATATATTTTTTCAAAATATTATTTTTCAAATTAAATTTTTTCAA